AACACTTCCCAATGCTGGGAGTGTGTTCTATTTGAGCCTTTCAGATCCCTACCACATTGGTTTTGCAAATGTCTTCCCTATTCTCCACTTGTGATGGTCTTCTCAGAGAATGAATCACTAATTAATAAAAGGGGAGCTATTTTGTTGTTTAGGGCAAATATTGGCACTCCACAATTTTATTGTTACAGTTGAACCTTAGGCCATATAATCTAAGGCAAGGGAATGAATACCAGCTTTACTGAAAAGCTGAATTAAAAATGAAGCAGCTTCTCTCCGTGTTCAGCAACAGAGACTATCTTCAGCCAATGAGTTTATATAATTTCTGTAATTTACTTAACAACAGTTCCCCACACTAGAAAAAGAAATTCCTCTAACAAAGAAAAGCTCATTTTTAATAAATTTGAAATGTTTTTCTAGTATGAGGAAAGGAAGGCTGTTTTCCTGTTACTCTATCAGAAGAGCATCCTTTTTAAGAGCTTGGGTTTCTATCTGAGGCTCTGGCTTTGTTGCTTGACTCACTAAACCATTTGTTTAAGCACATCACCTCTGCCTGTGTTTATATAAAATGGGCCTGAGTTGGCCCTGTTTTACGAGTCTGGGCAAACAGCTCGGGTTTTGGATCAGGCTGAGTGGGACATGAAATGTGGATTTTCCTCTTACTTCTACAGTGACTGTTGATGAATTTTTAACCTTGCTAAGCCTCAGCTGTTCACCAGTAAAATGGGATATCAATAACATGGCAGCTCCTACCTCATAAATTTGTGATATTTGAGAATTACATGTATCAAACCACATCATGCCACTTAACTGGCCCTGTGGTCTTACATAACTTACGTATTAACCTTTTTATACTTCTGTTTTCCCAGTTGTAAAGGAATAATAACAAAGTGGTGCTATTGTTCTTGGTAGGCTGTGAGGACAAACTTCAAGACAATTACAAGGAGATCTGTTTGAAAAACTGAAATACTATATTTGACTTTTGGTAATGGTCCTCCTTTGAGACATGTGTTTTGAAGAAATCAAATACACTGGAAAGATTCTTTTCCTTTACTCTTTTCTTCAAGAAAAAGCCAGACTCAGCTCAAACTCAGACCCCATGTTTCTGATATTTCAGAAGTCCTTGGAACAAAAACCAGTTGAACCAGGAAATAGAGAAGTTTTCATTAGAAGTTTTAAGGGGGAAATAAGTTCAGTTCACTTCAAAGTGACACAAAATGTATACACAAAAGCATTCAGCTTATGAATATGTGATCCTAGTCATTTTTGTTTTTAAATTCCATTGCTATAGATTTATTCTATAAAAATCATAAAACCTGATAAGGTTATTTCTAGTTTGAAAGGAAATCAAAAGTACAGGTGAAACATTACAAGTGATTTTATGGATGCAACTACTTAGTATTTTACCACCTAAAGCTCCTTTTTGTTTTTCTTGGCTTTATTTCCATCTCTACAGAAAATGTTTAACTCCTACACATGAGGTTTTTCGTATCTCTAGCTATAAGCCTCAGTCATCCAAGGGATGCACTATTTGAGATCTGTTCCAACTATCGGTTTCTCAAATATTTCACCCACTTTGGTGATAGTGTTCCAACCTAGGTTACTCCAACAGTTTTTTTAATACATTAAGATTAGTACACATTCAATTGCTAACACACACAAAAAAATTACATTTAAACTGTGTATATGTCCGCTCTTACAAACCACTTAACACACTTTGACATCAAGTAGGGCTGTGGGATCTCTCGGTCCTTTCAATCCTACTGCTGCATGACTTCTGCTGCCTCGATCACCTGCCAGGTGCTCTGTAACAGATTTTGTTGTGTCCAAACTATTTTCACACACCCTCAACAACTTGTTCCTGAAAAAAGTGACATTAGCTCCTACACACACACACACACACACACACACACACACACACACATATTGGCTTACAATAAAGATAAAGCCAAATTTCTTAATTAAAACCTGGACATGTAAGTGATATTGACAGCATATCTGAAATCTATACCTATGTCTATCAAAATGTAGTTATTCACTCATTCACTCAAAAATGGTTATGAGCACTTTCACAGGACTAAGAGCTAAGTCCATGAGCTGTGAGTCCATGCACTCTTGAGACTGAGTGTGGACTAGAGCATAAGATTAAATCCAGATTAGTCAGAGAGGGAATAATGAAGAGAATAATGAAGAAAGGATAGATGGATAGATAGATAGATGGATGGATAGAAGGAAGGAAAGGGATTTATGTGGCCACAGAAGAGGAGAATTCTTCTCACAACTGGGGGACCTGAGAAAGCTGCTTCTAAGAAGTCATTCACCACAATCACATCATGATACTAATACAGACTAATGTGCAGGGCAAACATTGGATCACACTTTTGGGACAGAGCAAGAGCAATCATATAACTTTATTGAGTAAATAATACTCTGAAGCTTTAGTCTTTCAAATATTTAGCAACAGAAGGACTTGATTATCCTTCTTCATAGAAACTGTCCAGAAGACAAAACTGTGACATCTACATCTTGAATACTCTAACTAGTCAAGATACGGTCGACAGCAGACTGTATAGCTTTTGATTTCACAGCCTAGACAGACAGCACATTGAATTTAATATGCTTGAGTTTCAAGAAGTGGTTATTTTAGAATACGCAGAGCATTTACAGATGCTTTTAAGATCGCTGCATGCACTTTGGAAGGTGATTCACGGGTACCTTGAGATTTCAAAGGGGCACACAGAGCACCCAAATGCCAACATCCTGACCCACAGCTGGTATAGCAAAGGCACAAGTATCCTAATGAAAAATGACAGAGCATTTTGTCCACCCAGGAAGACGGGCTCAGCATTAGCCTAAGGATCCAGTCAACTGCAGGGGGAGTCAGAGAGCCACGGGTGGGGGTGGGGAGCTGGGTGCTTCCTCCAAGGAAAGTCCCTAATTTTGCATGTAAGTGGGGCCATATTATTAGAAGAAAGAGAACCTTCCAAAAGCTAGAGATGTGACAAATAGGACATTTATTTTAGAGCTTGCAATTGGGAGGTCTTTTTTCCCCCCTCTTCTAAATCACAGAGAATTCTGAATATTTTACTTATGCCTTCTCAAAATGAAAAAAGAAATCAACCATTCAACATGATTCTTAATTCTTAATTTCCTCATGAAAGCTTAATTCATAAATACTGCAATGATTTAACTATATTATTTCAAGATATATATATTTTCCTAATAATTCAGAAGTTCTATTGCAACAGAAGATGCTGGAAATGCCAATGGACCTAATGTTCAGAACATAAGTCAGCAGTATTTTTTATTACAGACCAATGCACACCACCACACAGGGCCACCATTAGCCTGTGGGCCACAGTGAAAGGCTGGACTGCCCATCAAAAAACACACATAGGGAGCAAACTCTTGAAGATCTTTCCAGAGTCATTCAAAGTGAAACAAGAAAAAACATGAACGTGTGTTTGAAAAAAAATAAGTGCAGGAAAGTTTTCATAGTAACAGATAAAGATATTTGGTTTTTATTTTGCATGCTCAGATTCGTTTCATTGATTCAGGGTGTCCTTGATTAAAGCAGACTCTGCTTGATTCGAATATGCCAAAAACCTGTTCTTTGCCTTCTCTCTCTCCCCTTCTGGAATCAAACAAGCAAAAAGTGTTCTAACTGCTTCTCGCGGCAGGTTAATGGGCACCTGTGTTCTGATTTATTGCACATACTGCCTTCCCTGGCTCAGTGTTAAGTCAGGATATCAGCATGGAAGGTGGCACAGTAGGAATGACCTTTCGCTAATCACTGCACCTCAGTTACGACTGGCACAGCTCATTATACAAAAGAATCCTTCAATGAGCAGGCTTTCAAATGCAGTTACACTTTGATTTTCTAGAGAACAAAGATTATACTTCCACGTAAAAGCTTCGGATGCACAATTCTGTCAACTGAGTTACTACAGTAAAAAAAAGGCACCATGTTAATTGTCTGTCGTTATCAAGGGACTGCAAACTGTATCAAAGAAAGGCCTGCAGTCTTGGCTTTCATTATGGAGGTCAGAACATTTTTATTGACTCCGTATTATTAAAATTTTAGAGGGATGTCAATCATTTTCATTGCTTCAGATATAGGAATCTTGTTCGGAATACCCCAGCAATCAAAACCATTTAAGAAAATAGCACACAGCTGGAGAGTATACTATGCAGAAATTCTCAGCTCCTTCCTCTTATAACTGTCATTTTTATATTAAATGTATTAATTTTATTATTTTATGATACAGTTCCATAGGCTCTGGGATTTCCTTTCCGCTTCCCCAAACCTACCCTCCCTTCACGGATTTCCCCTATATCATTAAAATATTATAGTGTTTCACAAACAGTAATAGGTCCGTCATTCTGCTATTTCAGCATATCCTGACATTGTAGGTATGGACAATGGCAGAGAATCCAGTATCCTATTGTCAAGGTATATTTAATAGCTTCATTGGAAGTCTATCTTTGATCTGGAAGTACAGATGAAAATTGTGTCTTCACATCTGTTTATTACACAGTTACCACACATCCTCTTAAATGAGAAACCATAAAACAAATATACAACAGGAAGAAAAATAAGAAATTTATAACAACATGAAGTTAAATTACATGCTATTGTATGATCAATGTGTTGCTGAAGAAATGAGAAAGAAAATCAAAAACCTTGAACCAAAGGATGCTACCATATGACCTATGAGTCAGTGAACAAATAAGGGGAAAAAAAACTTCTTTGGATAAATGAAAACAAAAACAAAAATATCAACCCCCTTGAGATGTAGCATTACTGTCAACGCCCAATGATGGTATGCAGGAAATGCGAGAGATGGCAGAACTTCTCCAAAGTGGCAGGTGCTAATTTTAACAACCAAAATCAGGAAAATAGTTCTTATCCCCCAACTCCCGCCACTTTTCTTTCCATTCTGAACCAATCCAGAATTCAGACCAGGACACGATCCAAAAGACAGACACGCATCACAACTTACCAGCCATTTGCTGAATGCCACTGAATGCACCCAGGTTGCTGGAGGAGGTGGCCTGCTGCAGAAGCTGCAAGGGAAAGAAGAGGTGCAAAAATCAGACAATGCCCACCGAAGAGTAAGTAGCTCCAGTTTCCTTGACATGTATACAGTCGGTTGCTATTGCCTATTGATGGACTGACAGTCCCCAGAGTTGGGAGTGAAAATCCATATTAATGCCTAATCTTTAATAAGAAACACAGACACTGGGGAAACTAACACTGCTGCCTTCAAACAATCAATTTATTCTTTTAAACAACCAGGTGTTAAACCTATTGAAACTAACATAGCATGACTAATTGTATCTCTCTGTAGTCTACTCATTGCCCTAACTCATCTCTGTCAATCAAGGTACATTCCCTCCCTCTTTCTTTCCTGCACAGTTCAGTTTCCTTAATTCCTCATTAGAAGCACATGGACTCCGTGACTCTTTTAGGCTAAAATAAGATCGTCACCATAACACTGGACACTGTGCCGTTATAGTGTCACTGTATGACCAGGTAAACAGGCATTTTCTTGAGCGTCTTCCTTGGTAAAGAAGTCGACCAATGCAGAGAAGGCCCATTTGAAACTATGCCTCACTACAGACTCTTTTAAAAAAGCGAAGACATATTTCTGCATTTCTCTGTAGAGCTTTCAAAAAGCACGTTTTCTTGCCTCAGAATCCGCGGGTGCCACTGGCAAAGACATACGGCTCCTGCTCTGAAGGGTTCCCATGCTTGTCCAAAGGATTTGAACTGTAGGTTAATGTAACAGCTATCCTAAGTGTCTGACTGGATTGATTCTCAATTTGGTAAAATAGGTCAACACAGATACAGTTTGGATGTGGTACAAACATGCAGTTATTGCCAACGTTCAAATGTGAAGACAAGAAAGCACAATTTTGTCAATCTGTTACAGAAGCACTGTTGAAGTACCATGATGGGGAGGCGCAGGATGGATTCACTATCTTAAAAGAGCTTTCAGAATGTCTGTGTAGCTATATGGAACAGAACATGGAACGCTGCTTGTTCCTCTCGTCAAGTGCAGGTCTCTCTGATCTATCAGAAAAGCTCTACAATCAGAGATGACTCCAAACGGACTCGTATCAACTGACACGAGAGTACCAAGCAGAGTGGGATGTCAGTACTCAAACCTGTTTTGAGCACAATGATATTGTTGGACTTATGGGTGTGAAAACCAGAAAAGCATCTGCAGTGTTCACTCAGTCCTTGCTATATATCAATTTCTCTCTCTCTCTCTCACACAGACACACACGCAAACACACAAAGAAATACGTGAATGAGGGAAGGGAGGGATCACCTATTTTAACGTAGAAATATCTTAGGTTTAATTGAGTTTTTCATTCTTTAATGCTTCTGTTCCTCAACTCCCCTCCTTATATTAGATTTTTAAAGAATTAAAGCAGGGCCTAGCATGATGGCTCAGTGGCTACATCCTGCCTTGCATATGGGTGCCGGCTGTGTTCTGGCTTCTCTACTTCCCATCCAGATCCCTGCTTATGGCCCCTGGGAAAGCAGTGGAGAATGGTCCAAAGTCTTGGGGCCTTGTGCCTGCATGGGAAACCTGGAAGAAGCTCCTGGCTCTGGATCAGCTCAGCCACATGGGGAGTGAGCCAGTGGATGGAAAATCTTTCTGTCTCTCCTCTCTGTAAATCTGACTTTCCAATAAAAAATAAACCTTTTTTTCAAAAAAAGAATTAAAGTAAAATTAAATTAGTTTCGAGGGTATTTTGTGGAACTAGTAACACCTATTCAGCTAAGAGGAAATACCTGGCATACCATTAAACCTGGCCTATTTCCAAGAGAGAGCCAGGGTAAAATATGTCAGTCAACAAAGAGATAGAGACTGCCTCGGGAGCCAGACCCATGTCAGAGGAAAGCAGTTTCAATTAATAGGGTCTGAACAAGCACTGCTACACAAGAATCAAAGCCCCCGACAGGAAAAAAAAACACAGTAAGTGCTTATCAAAATATGTTCTTTTTTTTTTTTTTTTTTTTTAAAGATTTATTTTTATTATTTTTTCATTGGAAAGGCGGATATACAGAGGAGAGACAGAGAGGAAGATCTTCCGTCCGATGATTCACTCCCCAAGTGAGCGCAACGGGCCGATACTATGCCGATCCGAAGCCAGGAGCCTCTTCCGGGTCTCCCACGCGGGTGCAGGTTCCCAAAGCTTTGGGCTGTCCTCGACTGCCTTCCCAGGCCACAGGCAGGGAGCTGGAAGGGAAGCGGGGCTGCCGGGATTAGAACCGGCGCCCATATGGGATCCCGGGGGTGCAAGGCGAGGACCTTTAACCACTTGCGCCACCGCGCCGGGCCCCAAAATATGTTCTTATAATTGAGGCTCAGATTAATCTTCTTTCAGGTCTGGAAATAATTTGCAGATGCTGTCACAGAGCATGTGCCAGTCATTTCTGTGAGTTTTGAACCTTAGGAGATGTGCTACATGACTGAGTGAGGCTGGGCGCACAGGTCTTGTTTTTCAAAAATGGCTGAATGGGAACCTGGACTCATAGGAACTAGGAAAAGGTAAGTCAGATGTCATATTTAGATAAAACTCTGAAAAGCACAATAAAACAGATGGACTGTTAATACTTGAACAACTCAAGCTTGTGAAAAACAATCATTAAACCAAATGTATTATTTTTTAAAGGAAGCTTATAGATGATAGGTCAGAAAAATGACATGACAGAGCATGTCTTTTTAACAGAACATCTGACAGAATCGCTCATGAGATCCTTGTGGATAAGATGTAGAAATAGGAGGGGTGGAGTCAAGATAGCCAACGGAGGTAGACCAATGTGACCGGGGGCCTGGAAAGTTAGGGACGGAGCAGACAGAAGTGAGCGCAAGAGGAAGAGAATCGTGGGGGCCACTGTGGGAAATTCCCCAGTGCCGCCAGGACTGAGAAAGTTGGCAGTAGCAGTGAAATAGACACGAAAGACTGAGCTGCAACCTGAAAGGGTGAAGGAGGGTGCCCTGGGATGCGGAGACTCAAGCGAGATTTGGTGAGCAAAATTTAGAGAGTGAACTTTGGTGAGTCACTAACACAAGGAAGAGCCTCTCCTTAGCAGGGGGTGAAGGGCAAGGCGGATCTCGGGAACAAAACACGGTGAAGGGTGCCTGAACTGAACAATATGCAGCAGGCTTGGAACCAGGCTGTCGGGCCAGAGGAGAGGGCACCTAGGCACAGAACCAGAGACTGGGTGAACCTGGGACTTGGAACCATCCTGCACTGGGCTGCGCCAATCTCAGGGCCATGAAAACTTCACATAAGGGAGACCTCATGTCTACAGATAATATCGCCCTAGTTTGAGGTGTCTACAAGATCACAGAGTTGTGGGAGTGAAAAAAGGGGAGGGGAAGCAAGCACACTAGGAAGAAGAAAAAAAAAATTCAAGGGTCAGCAATAACTCGGGTCACCCACAAGGTGTCAGCAGAGGTCAAGGGTTAGAAGTAAGAAGTAGAAGAACTCCAGTGGCACAATTGGCTAGTATGCGGTACTTACACAGAAGTGAGCAGTACATGTCAAGTACCCCAACAACGCAGCAGAGGCTAATACCAGAAAACACAAAGACACGGGGCGAGGTCACAGGAAAAGAAATGAGTCAGAGCAAGGAGCCAGTGCCACCCCAAAGGGTCACCAAAAGTCCTGGTCAATCGCAGAGATGAAAGATGAAGAAATTGACTATCAGACACGGAATTCAGAAAAATAATTATAAAATTCTTCAGAGACAATGAAAAACGATTGGAGGAGCTCAAGGAATTAAAAAAAAATCACAGATCACAGAAAGGAAATTAGTCAAAAATGAGATCCTTGACTTGCAGTACAAAGTTGGGAGCTTATCCACCAGAATTAATACAGCAGAAGCCAGGATCTCCGAACTGGAAGTTTTTATTTTATTGAAAGGAATGATCCATCAGGAAGTGACTACCAATATAAACATCTACATGCCAAACACCAATGCACCCAGCTACATGAAGCAATTACTGATGGACTTAAGGGGAGACATAGTCCTGGAGGTACTTGCAGAGGCCATAGGACAAGAAAAAGAAATCAAAAGAATTCAAATGGGAAATGAAGAAGTCAACCTTTCACTATTCGCAGATGACATGATCCTTTCCATAGAAGAACCAAGAGACTCAATACAGAGACTGCTAGAACTTATACAAGAGTTTGGTAGAGTGGCAGGGTACAAAATAAATGAACAAAAATCAACAGCCATAGTGTATGCAAACAGCCCCAAGATGGAAAAAGATCTAACCAGCAAGGTACCATTCAAAATAACAGAGAAAAGTATGAAGTATCTAGGAATAAACCTAACCAAAAATGTAGGAGACCTCTTTGAAGAAAACTATGAAATACTTAAAAAAGAAATTGAGGAAGACCTCAAAAGATGGAGAAACATACCATGCTCCTGGATAGGTAAAATCAATATCATTAAAATGTCCATACTACCAAAAACAACACATACATTCAATGCAATCACCATCAAACTACCTAAAATATTCTTCATAGAACTGGAAAAAATGATACAACAGTTCATCTGGAAATACAAAAAACCATGAATAGCTAGAACCACCCTGAAGATTAGGAAGTTAACAGGGGGAATCACAATTCTGGACTTCTGGACATACTATAGGGTGGTGGTTATCAAAACAGCCTGGTACTGGCACAAAGATAGAGGATCAATGGAGCAGAACAGAAGCAACAGTAGGGAACCCATGCAGATACAGCCAAATGATCGTTCACACACACACACACACACACACACACACACACACACACACACACACACACACACACACAAAAAAACAAAAACACAACAATCCAGGCAACTGGGAAGGTTTCTTCAATAAATGCTGTTGGGACAACTGGTTAATAGCCTGCAAAAACAAGAAGATAGTCCCACATCTTTTACCATAAACTAAAATCAAATCTAAGTGGATAAAAGACTTAAACCTACATCCAGAAACCTTCAAACTTTTGGAAGAAAATGTTGGAAACACCCTGCGAGATTTAGGTGTAGGCCCTGACTTCCTTAAAAACAAACAAACAGCAAAAGCAATAGCAATAGCAATCAAGACCAAAATAAACAAATGGGACTACATTAAACTAAGAAGCTTCTGTACAACAAAGCAAACAATCAACAAAGTAAAAAAGCAACCCACAGAATGGGAGAAGATCTTTGTACACTACATAGGTGATAGGGGGCTAATTTCCAGAATATACAAAGATCTCCAGAAGAACCAAAACACTAAAACAAACAAACCACTCAAGAAATGGGAATGGGAAATGGGCAGACATTTCACAAAGGAACAAACCCAAATGGCAAACAAACATATGAAAAAATGCTCAAGTTCCCTGGCAATAAGAGAAATCCAAATTAAGACATCAATGAGGTACCACCTAACACCAGTAAGAATGGCTCACATACAAAAAACCCACCAACAACACCTGCTGGTGAGGATATAGGAAAAAGGGAACCCTACTCCACTGCTGGTGGGGCTGCAGGCTTGTACAGCCTCTATGGAAATCAGTATGAAGAACACTCAAACAACTGAAAATCTGCATACCATATGATCCAACAATTTTACTTCTAGGAATATATCCAAAACACCTGTTACACGAGAAACCAACATGCACCCCTATGTTCATAGCAGCACAATCAATAATTGCAAAAACTTGGAAGCAACCGAAATGCCCATCAACAGAAGACTGGATAAGAAAACTATAATTCATCTACTCCATGGACTACTACTCAGCTATTAAAAAAAATGAAATGCAGTTTTTTGTGGCCAAATGGGCCCAACTGGACAACATTAAGCTAAGGGAAATGAACCAATTCTAAAAGGTTAGATACCACATGTTTGCCTTAATTTAAGATGAAATGATGTCAATCCAGAAAATAGTTCCTGTAAATTGTAATATTATTTCAACCTCAAACAGCCTGTATCACATGCAATAAGATATTGTGATGTAATCAATGAACCAACAATCAATGTGAGTCAGACTGTTTATGATCTACATCAAAGAATTGTAAAACCTAATATACTTTTAATACCCTATGTTATTCCGTAATGGGGCAGGAAAGCAGAGAAATCTTCCACCTCCTTAGACTGTGTGAGGAAGACATTAAGTATAACCTATCAAGAATACAACAGGTAACTTATAGATTATAGACTCGAATCAGCATTAGACATTAGCAAAACTATAAAGACATACAGGGGGAATCAAGAGTGATCTTGACAACCTCTTAACAGGAGGTCATATGCACAGAGCAGTGGGGCGACCCCAGAGTGGAGAAGGCGGGCAGGAAGAGGCTTGTATTCCAACCCTGGAGACTCCTGGATCCTCACCAAGGACTATCAGTATGGGCACCAAGGGCTATATCCCAACTGCCAAGGAGACCACAGGGAATTGGATTGCCCTTGTAGGCCGAGAACTCTGAATTTCCCACATGGGAGATGGAAGCTGCCCAGATCCCTCCTCACGGGATCTAATGCCATCGGAACAATAGTCAGGAGCCCTGAGCTGTCCTCAGAAACAGAAGATCAGTACACTTCCTTTGGGACTTGGGAGGGAAGCTTACACTCTGGTCCTTACTTAGTTCCAACTTTGGATCCCTACCCTCTCTTGTAATGACCATCAGGATCACTACGGACCCCCCCCCCCCAAATTAGATTAGACAGAGACCAATAAGGAAAGCTTAGAACCAGACAGGAAATGGTCTGCTTAGACTCACATATACCTTACTAAGTAGGACACAAAGATTAGTTACTCCTCACTAAGGTATTGAAGATATCTCTGCACACCCGTCCTAAAACTGTTCTGTGCCTCAATTGTTGACATATGTCTTGTTAAGAGTTATAAGCCAGTTTGGACTATCCTAAAATTTGCCAAGTTCAGTAAAAATTATGCTTCAGTACTATAAACTGCTAAATATAAAAATGAAAATAGACACAAGACAGCTGAATAGTATTCTATAGCCATTTTAAGGTCTATAGCAGCCAGTTGTGTATAACGTAAAATTGAAATGTCAATGAAGTAGTCACAGGATGTGGTTAAGAACTTGCATTTTCTTACATGTCAGTCACTCAATACCATGTCAATTAACTCCATAATGCTGTAAATTGTTGTTGATGTTATGTTGTAGCTTTTAATTGGATGGGATGTATTCTGCCAGCTCTGCTTTCAGACCAGAGATAGTCTCCTCAAGAAACTGTTGAATTGATCTGGACAATAAGATGCTGGACTCTGTGCTTGGTACATGCTTGCAATGAAAGAATCATGACTGGATTTGAACTGTAATACTGCAACAAGGTGGGGAAATCCACCATGGGGGTAGGGTATGGGGAGGGGTTTGGGGAATCACAGAACCTATGAAACTGTCTCATAAAATGAAGTGAAATAATAATAATAATAATAATAATAATAATAATAATAATAATAATAATAATAAAAGATGTAGAAATAGCTGGAAGGTGGGAGTGAACTTGGTCAACAATCAGATATTAACAACTCAGATAAAAATAGGAAAAGTATGCTTCTTACAATCAGTGGTGTGCCAAATAGCCATATCCTAGCAGACCCCACTGGGCACTGGGATGGGAGGGATAAAAAGACGAATGTAATCTGAGCTGTACCCACAGGGCCATCACAGAAACAACCTTGCAAGACAGAAAGGACATGTGGAGCTGAAATCCCATTGACCACTAACTGTGGGATCTGGGATGAGGTTAAGTAGCCTCTTTCAACCTCCCCTTCCTCATGTTAACCATCAGGGTAAGCTCACCTTTCAAGGAGATAGGGAGAACTCTTTACACAACCATACGGTGTATAGTTTCTGCTACCAAGTATAGCTAACGGATGATACCACCCTACGAGGGAGAATAAACACGCACAGTGATAGAATCAGGACACTACGGTAGTGTCTGAATATGCATGCTTTTTCTCTTTGGGGCTGGAGTAAAAGGCCCAAATTCACAAAACGAAAATTAAATGAATAAATGAGAAGTTCAGAACTTAGATGACAAAGCAGAAAAACAGGAGCAGTGTCTCAAATAGAAAATAAAAATGGAAGATTCTTCACTGCCTTCTAGTTCCCATGTCACATGATTACCACAAATGCCCCTTTCAAGTTACAGTGAGCTAGCTCTCACTTTGTCCTGCTCATTCTTACTAGGCAAGTTACTTCCAATTCTGGTCACAGGATTTCAATAAAGACACTGATAAAAACAAAATGGAGAGCAGAAAGGAAAAAAGAATAAAAGTTCAGAAACCATGAAATGTAACAGATGAAAGAAAAAGGTCTGTTGAGCCTGACTTTTTTTTGTTTGTTTCAGATAAGTAAAGTAATATACTGTCAATACAGTTCCACTGGGAAAATCCAAAATGATAAAAACCCTGGTTGCAAGAGATCTTAATTATATCCTATTAATCACCCGTAGTGGGTTCTTCACAGAGCTGCCTCAGATAACTGTTAAACAATCACCTAGTAAGCATGTTGCATCTTATCTGTCAAAGGCTGAGCCTTTGAATCACCGGTGGGACTTCTGTCCAGATGTCACCAGGCAAGAATCACATGAGTTATGTTCTTAAGCTAATCAATGCAGCTCAGAAAACTATCCTGCATTAATGCTAATCTCAATTATTTTCTGAGGCTCAAAACCTACTGACAATGAATTCCTTAGCACACTTAGGGAGAAAGTAGGTTTCAAGAGTGCAGTGGGCTGCTTCTCGCACACTAACTTCTGTACTTACCGCCAGGTACTGCGGAGTGAGTCCGCCCAGACCCGTCAGGTTCCCCCAGGTGGCAGTGTTGAGCTGTTGCATCTGTTGCGCAAGCTGCTGTTGCAGACGCCTTTGCTCTTTGTCCTTCTGAGTGTCAGCAAACTTCACCACGATAGGTGAAGAGCAGCCCTGTGGTCAGACACATTGGAAAGTGAAGAGGAAGTTACAGCATGGTTGACTCCTCTCAGGGCACTCAGTCAGCACTGGCCCTCTCTCAGACTACCTTGGAGCACACTGGAAACACTTATAAATGGTTTGATACTCCTCCTCTGAACGGGTAGCACTGATAGAAAATTCCAGGAATTATCATTGGCTTCTCTGGGGGATTTGGGCTTTCCTTGTTTTAATGATTCAACTGCCTCTCCTTCTGTCTTCATGTGGGCTCCTTCAACCTTCCAGGACCTCCTCCACAACAACACACTTTACCCATGTTCTTGAATTAAGCTTTCTGGTTTACTTGCCTTAGAGATGGACTTAACACAATCAGAAGATAACAGAAGGAGGAAAATGCAATGGTAGTGGAAACAATATCTCTCATTTATTTCTTTATTTTCTCATTTTTATTTGCATGTTTTTTTTAATACTGGAGTTGTGGGTACCACATCAAACTGGCAATAATAGGGAGAAGTGGTTTTCATTTTAGGAAGTGTATGTGAAAGGAGACATTCAGAAAACATAGGCACTCGCCAAAGTATCTGTACATGTCTTTTCAGAAAGACGTTTCTTTTCCCTTCTTGTATCCATTCTATCTGAAATCCCCATTGTAAACCAACCAACCAAGCCCCCAAACCCCAAAACAGTAACAAAAGCAAAAGAAGCCCAACAGAAGCACCATCTAACTGAAAGGAGATACATCCTAAGTGGCAGCAGGAGGACTCCATGGAGCTTCTTTCCCTAAATTTCCCTAACTCCCTGAATCTTCTCATTCTCGCAGCTTTTCCCAGTTTCAATTTCCTTTAAAAGGCAAAGAGTAGGGGTAGTAACAAGGAAATGGCCGGGGTCATATAACAGGCTGAATTCGTTTTTGAAGCAGATAAAATCATCTGGGAAAATAACAGCCTTCCAACTCAAGCAGGAAGCTCTCCTTTGCAAAGCACCTTTGAAACACTTGCTGCTTGAAGCACTCAGCAGAAACCCGCCTCCCTCTCCAGCCTTTTCTCCTTCCTCAGTATGGCTTGCCTACACATTTCACCACAATTAAAGCTGCTAAATTTTGCTGAGGTAAAAAGAAGTAATTCGACCCAAGTGATTAAATAAAAACTTTTATTGAAACTCAGCATGATAATAGACCTCTCTCTCTCTCTCTCTTCTCAGAACTGTTATATCCTTATTTAATTGAGCTTTTCTCTTCTAGGCCCTTTGGGTCATTTTTCTTTCTTCAACGAAACAAACTTGTATGTCTGCCCTGCCCCCATCATCTTGTGCAGTTTCTGGGGCAGTAGTCTTGAATTCCCTCTCTCTCTTTCATATCTATCTATCTATCTATCTATCTATCTATCTATCTATCTATCTATCTATCTATCTTTTTTTAAGTGAGAAAAATGAGAGGACCAAGCCCGTGAACTTCCAGCCTAGCAGTCTCCAGGTCTGGTAGGCAGAAATACTGTATAAAATTTAAATGTCAGTCAACAGCATAAAAATAATATTTCCATTGAAAAAAATTCCATAATTAATTATTTATCACCTCCATTCTTCAACATTTTGTCACTTTGTAAAGACAGCAAAATATCCTGAATCTAGAAATCACACAGAGAATGGGTTTTGCATGGAAAGGGGTGTTACTGTTGTGTAACATTTGTTTCATTACACATTGCAGCATCCCCTCTCAACAGTACCTTTATTCTTTCACTTCTTAAGTACTAAAAAGTGCTATGAAAGCAAAAAAAAAATTTGGCTAAAGGTTATGCCTTAAAAATGACTATCCTATGAAGGAGGGGGAAAAAGAGGGATGTAGGGAAAGGTGGAGAGATGGGCAGTACAATATAAAATCAATGGTTTTTAAGATCTTAAGATTCATAAAATTTTGGGTTAGATAAAACATCTTGGTTAGAGATGTGTATCAGAGTCCTGAAAATAATGTAGTTAAATAGAAAAACAAGCTAGTTCAGTGATACGATTACAGTGGGATTGCATTATATGCAATGTTCTACTTAAACATTTTTTTTAATGGAACAAGAAATACAATTGTCTGAATAGAGTCCCCTTTTCAGTGTGGATGTCCAGATCTTATAATAAATATGTTAAACCAGAGCTTTTAACAATAGAGAAATAATAATAAAGGATCAAGAATTTTAAAAAATATATACCCTAAGCCCTGTAACAAATATTTTCCACGCTCAGAACCTCATGTTTTCTTGGTCTGGGCTCCCCGCTTGTCTGCTCTGTGAGCCTGCCTGCTACAGTAAGACAGGAGAACCTGGCCTCTGTCGGCACTCTCTGCGGCGTTACAGGGGAACTCTGAAGGAAGGGTGGCACTGGTTCTCACAGTTTTGAAAGAATTTCAGTTGGGTCCAGATTAGTGAATTACAGAAGCTAAAAATAATTCAGAATGAAACACATGGAAGATAAATATAGGTTAAGACTTTTCAATTTTTGTTTTCTTAGTAACATTCACTGTCTTCAAATCGAAAAATAGCTAGAACAAGGATGGGAAACTGATGATGGAACAGTCCAAGGTAAAAGAAAGGGGAAACCAGAACGCTAGCACATACATAACTACATGATGTACGGGACTGGATTTCTAGATATTTCAAATCCAGCTAATTATTTCTTAGCATGGCTCGTTTCCACCTGAGCTTGCCTTCAGGTGGGGGGTAGGAGTGTCTTAAAAATGCATTGCACTGAAAGGAAAACACATTGATTATATAAGATATGTTAAATATCAAAGTCAAAATGAACATTCAAAAAAGACAATAGGCTTTGCAATGCTGGAATCACAACTCAGAAAAAAAAAATACAGTAAACACTTAGTGACAATGCCATGCACACTCCTTTCCCCCCTCCACCCACTTTTTGATTCACTACAAAAAAGTTGCCCACGAAACAACGCATAACGATCACTTGACTCCCAGCATGCTTTGGGAGAGGCAGCATTGCAAATAACAAACAGAAAATAAAACTCCCCAAAACGGGAGTGAAAAAAGAAGCCCAAACAATTAATAAAGAAATTTTTAGCACATTAAAATTGAAACTGTCTTTTTTTCCCAAAAATATGAAAACAGTTTAACACCACAAGGCCACCTCCAGAAAGGATCATTCATACACAAAGATACATTATACACAATACAGCAGAACATGCACTCCCAAATGATTCTATCAGACAATACAGAGTAAGTAAGTACATCACTCTTAGAATGCCTTTGTGCAAAAACTTTGAAAGGCCATGACCCAAATCACAGACTCAAAGTACAGAGCCATCTATCTGTATTCTGGGTGCACATCTGCACCAGGGGACTTATCTGCCCCCTAAGCCACCATCTCTCATGAAGAGATCACATTTGAGCCTTTGTGTTTGTTACTGCTCATTTTAAAATTTTCAGGGGGAAATGCATAAATTAACATCCTCACTGGTAAGCAGGAGGAATAGTAACTTGTTCCAACATTTTTGAGGTGCAAAACCACAACTCTGTTTGACTAGATCAACTTGACACTAAATTAAAAAACAAAAACAAAAGCAGAAACAAAACCAAAGAGATCCTTGTGACTTAGCACAAGGAAAGCAGCACTTTGGGTGGGGCTGTTATTATTTAATCCATACCAATCCTGGGGTGGGGAATGTATTTGCTCCTTTAGGTCCAGAATCACACTTTGCTTAAAGTGCATCAACACTTTACATCGCAAGACCTGTGTGGCTGAAATAAAAGGCTCAAACAATAACTGCAGAACAAACGGAAGGCTTTACTAATGCATTTCAGGTCATAGGAGAAAAAAATGGAGAGAGAGAAAGAGACACAGAGAGAGAGGGAGGCAGGAAGGGAGAGGGAAAAAGGGAGGGCAGGAGAGCGAGCAAGGAGGGAGAAAGGGAAGGTGAATGAAAGAATCAAAAGTAAGATGGTGAAAGTTTCAATCTGTGATTGTCATGTGAACAATCCACACAGGAGAGAATTGCTTTACCATTCCCCATCATTTGCACAAAGAAAACAAAGAAAGGGCAGATGATACAGTACCTCCATGGTCTGAGACTGATGCATGGCTTTGATTGCATTCTGTGCCATTGCCCTTGTAGAAAATGTGACAAACGCACAGCCTGTGGGAAACAAGGGGACAGGGAGCAGGAAAGACAAAAAACAACAAGACAAAAGGGTTGGACGCTTGTTAAACCAACACAGTCTACGAGAACTGCCACAAGACGACACTGTTCTCAGTAGTACATAAAAATAAACAACTTCTCTCTTTGGTTTCATCTTACTTTGCTTTTTTTAAAATTCACCATGCTGACTTGCTAGTCTGACCAAAGCAGAAAGATTTATTTATTAGTTTATTTTTTAGATGGAAACTAGGGAATGAAGTTGGGCACATTTTTTTTTTTAAGCCACAGGGTTTGAAATTAACAAGATCTAGTTTGCATTTTCTAAAATAAAAAGTTGCCATTTTTCATTTTCTCCTTGGCTGATGATCTTTACTGAGGGCATCCACACATCAGGGCTTTGTGTTTCAAATTTTATCGCGGATTTCAAAGAAGCTAATAAGAAAATACTCACACAAAGGGCAAATTAGCAAATGCAGTTCACGAGCTCAAAATGTCAGCAAATAAATATATCTAATCCCTTCTAGGTAAGTTAAAAATACAAATGTACAAATAGAAACTGATGCTATATAAATGCAAGCAAATATACCAAACCCAAGACAAACAATCTGGTAATTACTAATCATTAACAAAGGCAAATGTTCTATTACTCTGAAAATATTCAACAGTGCAATTCTAGTAAAGAATAAAAAAATTACATAGAATTTCTTATTAGTACAAAAAATCTGCGTGACTTTTTAAAATAATGACTTGTGAATCACATCAAGGATTTAACTCAAAGTCTAATAAACCCAGTACAACGTACTTGTTTCTGAATGTCTACTTGGAGGCCCACAAAGCTTTCCATATCTGCTTTTTCCTGTGGTATAAGCTAACCAGAATCTATAGTGCTGGCTTCTGCTTCTTGCATTGGCCACCACACAGGTCACTATTCCAACTACATGGCTCATTGCCCTTTCCACTAATAAAAACACTGCCTTCTGAAATTTACATTTTATTCATCATGCGCCCTTGGGCTTCTTAGAGAAAAAGACTGTGAAATTAATGCAGATTCAGGCTGATTTTATAATAATACCACTGCACACTAAAAGCTTAGCTAAAGCAATACAGACTTACTTCACTTATGATCTCTAATGACTTTAAAAGTGCATTGATTTTCAGCTTCTTTAGCCTTGCACAGTTTGAACTTAGGTATCAGAGGATAATTTAGTGTTCCACTCAATTTCCTCAAAACATTATTATTATTACTACTTAAAAGATTTCCAAATGAAGCAGATCTAAACACCGAGAGGCTGCAGCCTATTGTCGAGTCAGAGTGAATGCAGGCAAGCAGAGTCCTGGCATCACCATTATGAGACTGCTGCCCCTGTGGCCAATAAGCAAAACAGAACAGTTTACATTCAAACAATCAGCAGATTGTTTGGTTTATGTAAATCAATTCATGAGCCATAAAATATCCTCTTTGGCTTTGTATGTGTACCTGGTAAGATGATCAAGTCAATATTGTAGTAGCATCTTTTAATCAACCAGCAGTAAGAGGAAGCAACACCTGTCCAAAGCAGAATGGCATCCAGCCATGACAGTAAGCCAATGCGTTCTTTTCAGCATCACGTTGTAATTTTTTTTTTAATATACAAAAGGTCTCAGTATATGGGGATTCATAACCTTGTTAAGGTGGTCTTAAGAAGCCTGAATGAAGTTTAGCTTGCTATGAATGCTGAGCTGTTTGATAAAGTTCTCACAGCATAGTAACAGAGAAAAACTTACTATTTAAACATAATGCCTGTACCTAGACTAACTGTAGCTTTTGTCATCAGCAATTTAGTGGCCTTCTGTAAGGCATCTAGATGATGTGTGTAATAGAGTCTTTCTGAGACAGATGACAGTGCCTCTGCTGGTTTCCTATTGATGATAACCTCTAAAACTCCAGAGTCCCAAATTTACCATCTGTTGTAAAGTAACACGGCTTCAAACACACTAGGATCATCACCAACATTAATGGGCAAAATTACACTAAGAGATTTTTGTTTTTCCATTTCTCATCTTGAGGCTACAAATGGAAACAAAAGTAAATCATCTAATGCAGATCAATTTGAACTCCTAAGAAGCCAGTACTGACTCTGGTTTTATAGTCAGGAAGATTGTGATTTACTTCATTTGTTACTATTCTCTAGGAACACGCGCCAAACCGACGGTTTCCATGGGGAAGCAAAATGCATTAAAAAATGTAAGATGTCAATAAGAACCCAATAAGGCACAGTTTATGCGTTTACCACCATTTCATAAAAGCAGAACTTGTGTAAGTAACTTAGAATGACAGAGCAATTAACAGACCTCAGAAGAAAAGTGTCAGCAATGGAACAATAAAATTATAAACTCGAACCATTGCCCTTTCCTCCATGAAACGTGCAATTAAAAACCTGACTGATATTCCTAATTATAAAGTCCTCACCCTATCCAAGAAATGCTTTGACAAACATGATGACTTCTTTAACCTTTCCATTCTATTGGCAATGGTTCAGTAACTGAGAAACTATCTCCTTAGGGGTTTCTGTCAAGTTCTGTACCGTGTGCAGTGTTCAATTACTTAAGAGAAGATTGTGTCATTTATAAAGTGGGAGTTCACGTTGAAACTTTTCAATTTCTATGCCTTTCTGTATGAAGTTATGTAACTTTAGAACAAACTGCTTCTTGGAATGGTAGTGTGATTTCTCTCAAACAGGTGGTCATGCTAGTCCTATGGGTTGATTTTAACTTTCAACACCAGTGAAAGCACACTGGCTTATGGATTTGGTCTGTAATCCATGGCTTATTCCTAGCACTGGGTCACATAAGCTATGAACACGAACACTACCTGCTGGCTTTATTCCACGGTCAATTAGAAAGTTTTCCACAAACAGGTATCTCTTAGGTTTACTTTTCCCATCTTGTACTAAAGATGAGGTTCTGGGTTTGCTGGATTTTGACCACAGGTCAGGCATCAACTATTTTAGAACATCTGACGTGGAGTCTCAGCAGTTTTGGCTATAGAAAAAAATGCCGGGGGTCAGGGGAAGGACCAGATTGGGGATGAGGCCAGGGGAGACACAGGCATCAGGATGATGAAAGTGTTTTTGTTTAAGCTGGGGGAGGGAGCTGGTATAATCACATGTAAATGATCATCTTAAAATCTTTAAATAAAAACAATCAGAAAAAAGAAAGACTTCCATTAATGTGGCCAACTTGTAATTCACTTGCAATTACTTATTGCCTCCATTTTGAGAACATCCCAGATTGCTAACAGAAAGGAAAGGAGCTGAATTCTCACGTCCATGGCTTCCCTTCTTGCTGCTAACACAGATAAGTGATTGACTGCTAAAAGGTTTTGCAAAGTAATTTCCTCCTACAGACAGGATCTATGGAAAGCACATAGCTCTGTCACAGAGATGATTTTGGAACACATCTATTACACTTGTCATTTCAACTGAAAGAGGATCTCAGCTCATGTGTTGTAGCTTTCCTCTGAGCTGCAAGAGAATTTTTAGAGAACCAGATGAATTCTTATGACTTACACACACACACACACACACACACACACACACACACACACACACACACCACACACACTTACAAAAGTACAAATACTTTTCAAAGTGTGAACAATGCCAGGACCTCTTGTTTTTCTGTTACTTCTCTGAGGGGGGTGCAGCAGCCTGCTGCTTTGCAACTGAAGGTGAGGCATAATTTAAAGAAGCTTGTACAATGTGGAGGAAAAGTCCAAGCTATGGAAAACTTGTTTGTAAATTCACAGTCAAAGCAAGATAACGCAGTCAGTTTCCCTTGCTGATCCTTTTAGCTGTGGCAGGATTCATTAAACACATGCTGCCGGTATAGTAGTGAGGCACAAAGATTAACACTCGAATGCCCAATGCCTGATTCGGGGTGAACTGAATTAAAACTGGCAGGATTGGGAGGGTGGAACAGGAAATCCTTGAGCCTATGGACCTGTATCATGAAAGATAAAAGTTCAAAAAAGAAAAGCTGGCATGGAGACATCATTCATTTATGGTGACTGAGACTATGTCCAGACAAGGACCTACTGCAGAGCTGGCAAATCTCAACACTGAGGTGAGACTAAAAGAATGTATCTAAAAAAACAAAAAAATGCAGTTGATAATCCAGCAGGCAAGTGATCAAAATTTCCACCCATCTGAATATTGAGGTATCTTGTAGGCAGTACTAAAACGTGAGCAAGAATGACATTCTCTCTGCGTGTTTTTGTATCAAAAGTCCTATCCTAATATCCTGTCCTGATCAGCTATAGCAAAAAGCAAATAAAGATTTAATGGCGAAATTCAGTCTGTGCTCTCCAACATCCCTGAAAATATTGCCAATTCATTTGTCAAGGGTTTTGGCAGGGAAATGTTGAAACACCATAAACACAGCTGGAATATTCTTAAACAAGCACAAGGTTACCTTAAATGGCAGTGAAGATTTGACTACAGTTTGTGGGAAAGAAAAAATGAAATACACTTCTTTATTGTCTCTAAGTTACATAAACTCAATTGCCAGGGTGAAGAAAACTCTGAGGGCTGGACTGAAATAGCCCCTTCTGAATGTGGGATTAAGGGTGAGAATATGTGTATTTTAGCAAATCAACATGCTAAAGCCACACCGTCAGACTGATGTGTGTGGTTTGGAAACTTCAAGCTTTGCTATGGAGGGTCAACATTTCATTTGAATTGTTAGGGAGTGGGCTAGTGGTATCCCACTTTTTTTTCAGCTTGTTTTTTGTATGAAGGCTCATCCGAGAGGTTTGAGAGGTCAAGCTGCCACTGTCCAATTGTCTGGGTGAAAGGAAGTTGTCTCAAAGCATTTCCAGCTATGTATGTTTTCCAAATAGCAAAAAATATTCAGGAGTTATTGCTGCCCCCAAAGGCATAAATGCACACTTAGATGTGGATATAAGGCTTCAACTGAGGAAGAGTTCCAATATTTGTTGAGAAGCTTTATGTGCTTGGTGGTTTGTAGGTGCTTCCCATGTACACTTCCCTGTGAGTAATGATGTGACTTTTAAGATGTTGTTACTTCCCAGTGAGTAATGATGGGACTTTTAAGATGTTGTTTCTTGGGGTCAGTGTTGTGCTGCGGCAGATCAAGCTGCTTCTTACAATACCGGCATCCCCCATGGATGTCAGTTCAAGTCCAGGCTGCTTCACTTCCCATCCAACTCTGCTAACGCACCTAGGAAAGCAGTGAAAAGTGGCTCAAGTGTTGCTCCTGGCTGGCTATTGCAGCCAACTGGGGAGTGAACCAGCAGACGGAAGACCTCTTTCTCCACAACTCAGTCTTTCAAATAAGAAAAAAAAAATAAGATATTCATTTGTCACTAGGTCGACTTTTAAAAATGTTTATATATATATTTTTAGTAATTGTGATTCTAAATCAAAGTATAGTAGGGTTTGATAGGTACAGCTGTCAGTCTGAGCAGCCTACTGCTGTGATACAGTGAGTGTACCAGGTCCACAAGCCTGCAGGGGCCTCACCGTGATGCCTCTGGTGGAAGAAAAACACAATGGATTTGGTAGAGAAGAAACAGAAACAGCATTAGAAACATGGAGGGGGCCGGGAATACCTGATAAATCTGCTGCACCAAATTCAATTTTTGTCTTCAATTTTGAAATTAAACTGGGCAGAAGCAGACAAAAGTGAACTATTCAAGTGCACCTGTCTCTCATCAGGCCCAAATGGTTTGATTTGAAAACTTTCTTAGTGAATAGTTTGTAGCCTGGGCTTGTGTTGGAGGGCAAGTCTTTTCACAGCAGCCGAGCTTTCATTTCACTTGACTTTTATTTATTTTTTTTAAACAGCTGAGCCAGCAACAGACAGGGAAAACAGAAATGCTGAGCGTCCTTTATTTGCAGTGCCACTAATGGGAGACACTTATTAATATTTGATTGAAAACCGCAATTCTTTAATGAAAGCAAAAGAGAGCAGCATGAAAGAGAATTGTTCTTTCAACAAACACACTGATTCAGGAGCAGGCCCCTGTAGCCAGTGGTCCCAGGGCACTGCTAATTGAAAAACACACAGAGTCTGTCTTTATATTTCAGAACAAATGGTTGTAAATGAGTTATTTTCTTTTTTGCAATAGGGAATTCTCATCAGTTCACCAGAAACTACTTTCTGTTAAAAAATAAAGAGGTGGGGGAGGTGTTGGAGGGCAAGTCTTTTCTTTATACAGAGCCATCATTTGCATAAAATATTGACGAGAGGGCTTCCATAACTTGTTCCAGAAACAGGCTGCTTCTGGTGTCAAGTGCTGGTTAATCATCCAAATAGCAGATCAAATTAGCTGGAGTTCTCTTGTTAAGCGTGGGGTGTCCTGCTCTTTCCCATGAAAGTTTTGGCTGCTATAAAACCTTATCTGCAGAAGTAACTATGGCACGTTCAAGAAGCTCCAAATGCTTCACGCGACAACGCTACTCTCTGTTGTCCTTGCTGGACACACGGAGAGTCATTCCATAACCTGGCCGAGCCAAGAACAGCACAGCTGATATCCAGCGCTCAAACTCCACATTCAAGGCTTCTCTACCAACCCGTCCGCCAGGGATGCTTAGATTAGATGCCAACATATCAGTAATTAATGACTCCCTATGAATAGGCCAGGCACTTATTGTTACTGCTGTCATGTACAACTGAGGAAATTGAGGAACAGAGACAGAATAATTGACTAGGGTCACACTGCATGTCATTAGAAGTTCTATGACTTGAACTTTGGTGATTCTGACCTCTAAGCCAGTATGTAATGCCAATAGGATTACTGTTATTGGCTTCTTGCTATGGTCCTTTCTTCCTGCTAGCCCTATCCCCAGGGTTCTATAACTTGGGGAGTCAAAAGTGAAAGGATAAGAACAACCACATGAGAGAAAAACGACCATAAGCAACAGAAAAATGTTTTGGTGCGTGTCTAACAGTGAGAATTGAATTGTTAGAGAATGCATTACTGTGACTTATATGCTAATCTCTCCCCTGTCCCGAATCACATTCACAAGAAAATACAGGAAGCAAAAGTTTTAAGTCATGACACGGTCTCCTAATTTTCCTCCAGACTACCTCCATTTTGGGGTTCTGGAGGTGGATGTAGGTGGAACTTTTGTTTCTCTAGGTATTCAATTCTAGCAGCTGACATCATGAGGTTTATAAAATCAAAAACAAATGCTTTTCCTCACAAGGTGCTGAAATTAGGTACAGCTAGTGAAGTGGGTGGAAATTAAAGCCTTGATACTTAACTGCCAACTTTTCCTTTTAGCACATGGCTTCAGGGACCAGGAAAGGCCCAGAACCAAATTCCTAAGTAGCCCCATGGAAACTGCACTGGCCACTATATTAGTAATAGATTGAAAACCTTCACATGTTGCAAAAGACTGGTTTTACATAATGCTTCCACTTTGTAATGGCTCAGGAAACTGCAGTCAGACAACTGTTAACACTCAGTGTCAACTTTATGAGTAGTTTAAGGAAGGGGGTGTGTGGCCTTGTCAAAGGGGGAGGCAAATACGGAAAAAGAACAGTGAGTCCAACTATTCTGTATGGCTGCTTGCAAAAATACTGGTTTTCATCAAGGCGCAGAGTCCCAGCTTTGGCTTCTATTATAGTAGCAAAGAAGAGCCTACAATCTTCTTCAGCATGAAGTCATTTTTCTGTCATTTCAAGGACTCTCTGGACTTATACTCTAGGAGTTTCACTGTTTGAAATAAAACTGTAACATTCCAAGACAGGCCTAGTTACTCTTAGTTTGTATTTGCCTTGCACTGTAATAGAACATCAACATTTTTCTCTTGGTTTATGTCATTCAAGGGGACCAAGAGGTAACACTTCTTTCAGGTACAGGCAGAAAGCCAGAATATTAAGAAGAAAACAATAAATATCCTTTCTGCCTTTCCATGTCTCCTCCTCGGTATCCCCCATCCCCCTCACCCTGTTCAAAAAAAAAAAAATCTGCTTCCATTGAAGACCGAAAAAGGATGTGTAACAATAGGGCAGCCTGCTATGCTTCCCACCAGACAGTGATAACTTGAGTTAATATGTTGGCATCAAGACCTCCTCGGCTTGAGAAATAAAAGGTGCTCATTTCAACTGTGGTGAAAAGTTCAGGTTGGATAACTTTATCACATGGGACGTATTATAGAGTGACCTCGTGCTGTAAGCGTTGCCTGCATCTACCTGGACTATGGCACAGAATTCCAATTAGCACTTAAGGAAAGCGATTTTGTAGACAGCACACTCACCTCGACTCAGCCCGTCGGGTCCCCGGAGAATCCGGCATTCTTCTATCTGGCCAAACGGAGAAAACATCACCCTGATATCATTCTCATTACACTTCTTCGAAACCATTCCTATGAACAATTTTCTGTCTTCAACAGCTAGGAGATAAAAACAATGAATGAGCAAAGGCCATTTCATCTTTTCTTTAAAATCAATGATGCCTTACCACATCTAACCAGGTCCCAGCCATGTGAGACTGAACAGCAGTCTTCAAGCTAACTCTTTAGACTTCCCACCTGCTTTGTTCCCCCTCAAAACTTGCTTCTGTCTCCCACCTCACTCTTCCTGAACATTTCATCTCTTTGTGAGATTCTTCTTATTAATAAATTATCTTCATAGGATACAGTACAACTGCTGTTGGAGACCTCTTTATTTGAAAATAGTAATAAGCTTACTAGAACTCATATACATGTGTAAATGCTCAACAATACCACTTAACAGATACCTTTGTGTACAGATTCTCACCTGAGTTTTTGTAGCTTTCTTACAACTCGACAGTGAAAGAGGTTGAGAAGAAAAACAATGGGAGGATATAAGAAGATATTTGAGATAGTTCATGTGAAAGTACAATTCAAAGATAATTTTATTTTAGTGTGATAAACTGAAATTCATGCATAGCTTTTCCATGCATTTTTCAAGAATGTTTGCTAAATTTCACTTGTATACATGAGTGTGAGAATTCTTGGCTGTAAAATAAACACTTTTTACTACCATTTTTCATAAACTTTATAAAGTGCCTTCATGTAGTAAGAAAAATTTTTAATGAAGCATTCAAGGGAAGAGAATATTTTTCTCCCCCCATTTCAATAGCGTTGTCCCCACTGATCTAATGAACAGGAGGGGTATCACAGAGCATTTTCTCCCAAGGCATTGGCAATGCAACACCAATGAGATTCCACACCTGGCTCCAGCCAGTGAAGCTAGCTTTACCTCAAGAGGAGATAAGTCTAGTATGGAGAATGGGGCTGCTACTAGTTGAAGGAACATCACTTCAGATGGTTCCTACATGCTGGGTAGACCCCTCCACAAAAGAAGAACATGGAGGGAACAGTACTATTCTAATCTTGTAGGATACCGGATGTGCAGAAAGACAACATGCAAATTATAACACTGGGAACTGATGGGAAGAGAGACAAGGCAAATATTATCTCAAATGACCTGGAAGATTTTCTTCAAAACCTACATACTTGTGCTCAGGATATGTGACCTACATTTAGTCTGAAACACAATGCTATAACCAATATCTGGACAGTTTTCAGAGCTATTTTTTTTTCTTTTACGGAGACATGCCCACCCCTCCAACCTGACTTTAGGATATCAGAGACATCCATGAGAAGTTGCTTATTCGCCTCTCTTTTCCTTCCCATCAATTTCTTAAAAATTAAAAAAAAAAAGCACAGCATGAGAGACTACAGAGTCCTAAGTCATCTGTGCATTAGTTCGGAATCTGTATTTAATTGTGGGGCCAGCTGCTTCTGAAATGAAGTTACAATTCCAGGTATCTGCCCTTTGGGGGCTGCAGCAGATACATTCATAAGTCAGGGAGGTAATGGGGGAGAGGGGACTGCTCTGAAGCAATGCTATCCCACAGAGCTCTCTGCAGTGACCAGGAAGTCCTATGCTTGAGCTACCCCACATAGGAGCTAAAGCCAGGTGTGGGAAGTGATGCTTTTAAAACATGTCATTTCATTTCAGTTACTGTAAGCCACATCTGGCTACCATACTGGGTAGTACTGCTCTGAAGAGCCTAAAGGAGACAGCTAAAGAAGCTTGGTCATAGAGTTCCAGACTGGAAGTCAGAGACTGGAGACAAATTTTGTCTATCCCTAAAAAGTATTCCTGAATCCTAGCAGGGACTTGCCTAGGGCCATTCAGTAGATAACAGGTTACCAGAAAAAGTTCAAGGAAAGTAACATGAAAGTAAGTCATGTTGGCAATAAAAGAGTATCTTGAAACCAATACACACTAGGGAGATTCAAAAAATTCATGAAAAACAGGTAGCATGAAAAAACTACACCAACAACCCTCTTTCCCACCAAATCCTTTCATTTTCCATGAAGCCCACTTCTAAGTCTTCCACACCACAGTCTGTTATCCTAGTCCCAAGCCCAACTTCTCGCTCTGACATGTTTCACGAAAGTTCTGAGAGAGCAGAGGAGGTTAATGCGAGAGAAACGGTCACAATTAGGAGACCCAAGTGGTAGTCTCAGTGTTGCCATACATCTGATGTGTGACCCTGAAGTCTAAGACCTCAGTTTTGTCAGCCACAAAGCAAAGGTCTTAATTCTTTTTCTTCTTTTTTCTTCCCTGCCCTTTCAGAAGACGTGGCCCAATGATATGCTGTAGCCCACTGAAGCACCTGGGATGGGGGATAGAAACTGAAGTGGTATGCAGAATCCTTCTATCTGAATCTCTCTATCTGCACTGTAACAGTTTCTAAGATAATTCAAGAAACACTCCAGGACAGGATCCCATGGGATATGGCATGCAACTACAAAGCCACAGCTGATGCAGGCTATGAATTGTGCATCAAAGTGTTTGAGAAAGCCTAGATGGAAGACAGAGAATTTAAGCTGGACTTTAGGAAGTATAGGAAGAGTCTACCTCGATGCATACTGAGATAGGATAGGAGGTGGGAGACAAGGAACTTCACCAAGAATAAGAAGGACTGTATTTGCAGTAGATGGAAGAAAGTAGTACCATAAGCATGGTGGCTTTTCACTTCTTTTCTACAAATAGAGAAGGGTTCAATGTCTCACAAAAGCTCGGTTTTTCTGAGCTTCAGAGTAGGCCTGGTTAACAAACGTCATGGGCTCTGATCACAGGGAGGGAGGCACTTGCCCTTCCTTAACACATAACTGAATTAAAATTCTTCTTCTTCCCTTCAGAGCAAGTGTTCACCTAGGCGTGAACTGCTAAAAACCAGCAGTGCTGGCCCAACAACTCAGCTTTAAAAGCATCAGACAGATTCCCTGGCAAGGCAAACTCTCCATGAGGAAACCTTTGTGGTCCTCCAAGACCAGGCCCACTTCAGGCTTGGACTCCCTCACACGTGAGGATTCTGGTCTGACGGGCTCCATGGGGTTGCAACAAGAACAGCACTGTGAGGGAAAAGGAAAAGCAGCGGCTAGAATGGCTCACAGCAGGGGAGAGGAAACTTCTTGTTACATTTCTCTCCCATCTCTGGGTTTCCTGACTCAGAAACTTCGGCTAGCACTTTTTGAGAGCAACAAAAAATTTCCTATCATGATACAGTGGATTTTAGATTTTTTTTTTTTATAACACAAGAACATGAAAAATTCCCACTTGGTCCTTGATTTCACTAGTAAACTGTAATTATGGTGTTTAGCTAAAATAATTTGCAGGTTTTGAGTTTGCTCTAGGGTGATGCTGTAGTGAATTAAATATGTAATTCCTGAGTAAGCTAAAAAGTGACTTTTTTTTTTTCCTAAGATGAATATAAAGTAAGTTAAATGGAAACCACTTACAAAGAGATCTTGACTTCCTACCCAAATTTAAGGGGTAAATTTGGCTAGACAGTAGGAAGGAACAAACTCACTCTCTTTTAAAAATAACAAATATTAACCTAAGGGGGGAAAGGAAACCCACGTCATCCCTATACTATACAAAATGCCAATTTTCTCCGGGTGTGTGGGCTCACAGGCCCACGCATGCAGAAAGCAAGCTGGGCATTTGCAATCTTTTAGCAGCCAAAGTTACTCTGTGGTTCTAACACAGTTGGGCCATATTTGCTTTAATGGCAAAATGAAGATGACTAAACGTAACCAGTCCTCCTCTCCCTTTGAATTTTCCAGGGAAAACATGAAATTATCAGGATTATTCCCAGGATTCTCATTTAATGGTTCCTATAGCTTTGTAAACTTTGAAAGTAATTACAATTATTTTAAATTCACTTCAGTTTTTTCACCAAAACAAAGATTTTTTTTCCTGCAAATATTCATAAGCTGATTATCAATTTCTCAGGCTATGAGTATCAACTGCTTAAATACATCTATGTTCGCAGTGTTCTGCATAGTATCCGTGGTGCTTTATGAGAATTAAAAATAAAAAGAGCAAGAATTCAACAGCAAGGTTCTGCCCTCAAGAGGAAAAGTCATTTTCCTCGAGGTGAGCCAATGGGGCAACAGGGAAATCCTTCAGTATCGTTAGTACTGCACCCATGAGGTCCCCCTCATTAGCAGGGCTGAAAAGGGTTAAATTCTCCTCTCATAATCAGAATGGTTAACTCTTTAAGTATAAAGGTTGACTTTTTTTTGAGTGGGGGGACAGAAATACTTCATTTGAAAGAACGAACTCTAATTGTGAATCTCTGCTAACACCCTGGTATACAATCTGTCAAAGTCACACCTGGATTCAGGGCTGCCTGAATTCATTAACAACTTTCCAATGTGTTAGTGTTAACATATGGCACTTAATTACTGCCTCTAATTCTGTGAGTCTCTTCACTTTGAATTTCAAAATTACTTCTTCATCTTCCAACTGGTCAGAAAGAGACCGGATGGACACGCCCAGTGATTCCTGTTTTGGATGGGGGCTTTGCAGTCTTCACCCACCCTGACAGCTAGCTCTTGCTAGCTCTGTCCTTGATGCATGGGACCTGCAGGCACTGCAGGGCTGGGGAAAGACACAGTGGGGCTTCAAGAGCCAGTGTTAAAGGATCATCAACAAGTTGTGAGGGAGGAGGGTTGAAGCAAAATGGATTTATGTTCTGTCTACAGAGCTAAAACGATCACAAACGAGAAGCATGATTTAACAGTCAGTCCTGGCTTTAGCCACTGAGATCCAAACACAGAACTAGAGCCACTCACTGCTAGACTAGTTTCAGAAACAACTTTTAATGTTAAATCTTGCACAGCTGGTACCTTTCACTGCTACAAATAGAGGATTCAAAGCTGGATAGTGCAAACATGGAACACAGGATGCATGTTCGCACTATTTGATACAAGCACTCTAAATTCATGCTTCTTCAAATGCCGTTCCTATACTATCAGGTTTCCACAAAGAAAAAAACAAATAAACAAACAAAAAAAAAAACCCAGAAAACAAAGAAGTTTGCGTTCAGTTCTGTTGCAAGTTGGGTCTTTATATCCAGTGTTCTCTTCCTGAAGTTAGGTCATTTTTTAATTACTGGTTTGGAATGGAATGGAACTTTTTTCCCCCTTGTTCCCTCTTGGATACTCAGTTCACTACATGTGGGAGTAAAGGAAAATACTGTGAGCTTTGCATCAATGGGTAGAGATCTCAGCTCAAATCAGAACCTACTCAAGGAAGCCTTGGAGATTTATGAGGCTGGTTCAGCAGGACTGAAAGTGCAGGACTGATCTAAGGGCTTCATAACATTTCTGGACTCACTAAAGAGGCTCCCTCCATCAGAATCTCTAGAAGGACCGGGGCAGCAAAACGTTATTGTCCATTACTAACTGATCCAGGGCGAGCATGCCTCCCTTGCTCTCCAAGTAAAAGTTTTAGAAATCACCATGCACTGACAATGAAGACAGTGACTGTCTAACTTGATGAGTCCTTTGTGCTATCCATAAATGTCAGCAAGCTCAATAAAAGTGCAATTAGAGCTCGTTATACTTCTTTTCACAACTACAGGAGCTATTTAGAGCATCTGAGCCAAAGAAATCTTGGTGCTCTTTGAGCTTCTCAAACTATGCTTACCTGTCAAAAATGCCACGTGAAATAAGAAGAGATTTGCAGCTTTTATCACTTGCTTTGGAAAATTATACATTTCTTCTGATTCCTAAATCAAGTCCAAAGAGAACAGTGAAACCTGCTCACGTCTATGTAAGGTGAGGTTCCATGTGAGCCTTTAAAAAGTAGCTTTTTTTAAACTTTTCTGACTGGAAATTCAGAGAATAAATGTCTGAAAAGCAAAGGAGAACTGGCTCAACTAGGAGGTTTGGGCATTTTCAGTCCTGTTTATGGATTTCTGCTTTGAAGTCTGGAAATATTAGCCTCAGTTACCAAAACGGCTGCCTGCCTCAGTTAGTGGAGGTATGCCGTTAATTTAACACAGAGGCTATTGATTACATGCCATATATCACGGTAAGGTGTTTACAGATGCCAGTCTATTTAAACATCATACAGCTTTGTTATGTGGGTATCACCAAAGGAGCTACAGTATCCCACTGGTGCCCTTCCCACAGCTGAAGATGGCAGGGTTCAGTGATGCTACATAAATTGCCCAAGGACATAACTAACAAGTGCAGAGTCAGGCAGGAATCAAATCAACCTTCTTAAAAATGATTTTAACTACTCATCCATGATGCTTCTTGAAAAAAAAATATCAGTTTTAGGTCCTGCCTTGTCCTACTATTAGTGGTGCATAATTCTTGGCTTTAGAGGTCTTAAAAAATTGAGAGAACTCATGGCAATTCTATTCTGTTGCTGTGGTTCTAGAGTCAAAGCAAACATTATCTTCAGGGTCTAGAGGCAAGGGACAGTGAGAGCAACAAAACACTCTGAACTTCTGGCAGCCTGAGGTGTATACAAGGTGTATACATGGAACAGAAAATGCAAACAAAGACATCCTTTCATGCTTCAGCTATTGGGTACTTCAGGTCAAATGTTTCCATCCAGTTCCCTTATCTGTTATGTTTTCATAACTACAACCAAGGCAAACCTTTAGCCAGATACTGACATAGTTTTAAGGAATGATGGGGTGAGGGGATAGAGAGCAGCTCTTGGGAGTCACAGGTTCTGAGACGACCTGCACTGAGAGCATTCATCCCACAGACACAAAACTCATCTCTCCCCACTCAATCCCGGAGGAACAGAACATTCTGCAAGCATGAAGCTCAGAAACAAAAGGGCTCTAGGCACCAGCACAGCAAAACTGTCTTTTACCTAGCAATGCTCAACAAAAAGCCCTATAAAACCGAGGCAGGGAGTACGAAGTTGGTAAAAACAACCAATATTTTATGGAAATGCACTATCCTTTACAAAGACTGTCACAAGGGGCTGGAATGGTGTTGTACCAAGCTAATCTTCCACCTGCAAGTGCTGGCATCCCTATTGATGCCAAGTTATGTCCAGCTGCTCCACTTTCAATCCAGCTTCCTGATAAGGATCTGGGAAAGCAGTGGAAGGTGGCCCAAGTCCTTGGGGGCGCTGTATCCATGTTGGAAATCCAGAAGAAGCTTCTGGCTCCCAACCTCAGATCAGCTGAGCTCTAGCCGTTGTGACCATTTGGGTGTGAACAAGCAGATGGAAGACTTCTCTGTCTCTCCTCTCTGTAAAAATTCACCTTTCAAATAAAAGTAAATAAATCTTATTTTAAAATGTTATACAAAGCTGGCCATAAATAGCTTGTTTTGGGGGGTGAAAAAGGTCAAACTATGTGAAGCAGTTGATGTTTCCATTTTCTGCAAGATTCAAATTCTGTGTTTCTGTGAGTGTTAGATACTTATATAGTAGATGGAATATCAGTTTCATGAGGCCAGGGATCTTGTCTCTTTTGGTGTGTTTCAGGTTAGTTGCTGCAACTGCATCCCTACCCACAGGTATGAAAACAGGGAAATAATCATCAATCAATGAGTAACTACCGTACAAAGGAATGAAGAGATCTGATCTCAGAGCGAGGCAGTGGTAGATTTCAGAACTCTGACACAAAAGACTGTGTTAATGGTAAAGCGGTCTGGGAAAAAGAGACGGACTTATGAAAAGCATAGCACTGGGGCTGGCATCTTGGCTCAGTGGCTAACATCTATTTCCAAGTCCAGCATCCCATATGGGCGCTGGTTTATGTCTTGACTGCCCCACTTACCATCCAGCTTCCTGCTTGTGGCCTGGGAAAGCTGTGGAGGATGGCCCAAATCCGGGATCCTGTACCCACATGGGAGACCTAAAAACTCCTGGCTCCTGGCTTTGGATTGGCTCAGCTCCGGCTGTTATGGCCATTTGGGGAGTGAACCAGTGGATGGAAGATCTTTCCACTTTTCCTTCTCTCTGTAAATCTGCCTTTACAATAAAAATAAATACATCTTAAAAAAATAGCACAGAACTGATGAGAAAATGGTGGTTAGTAAAGCACTGAAGTGTGCTCCTCAAGAGAGGAATGCTGCGACAAACTGAGTGCCAGCGGCATCACACAATGACTTTAGATTTTCTTAAAAACTCTCTTCTCTGTGGAGAAGCCAGAAAATGGGATGCACTACAATTAGCAAAAAAATACCTTGTGGAGAGATTTAGAGCCCAATCATAATTTACATTTGCAGATATGTAGATCTCTAAGTGCATGGCTTCTGCCCTGATTACTAATTAATGAGGTGCAAAACTGCCTGTTGGAAGCAAACAGTGCTGATTATGTCAGTCTTGTGGGACAGAGAAGCTCTGCAGCCTAAGAAGGTAGGGGATTCTTTTAATATACATCTCAGGAAATTAAAAGAACAAAAAAGGGAAGAAGGCAGCTTGTAGAAATGGAAGCAAAAGCTTGAGAGAGAATTGTAAGCTTACTGATCCTCATGTGTCTTAGAGAGGCACATGTCAGTTCTTTCATGGATTTCATCAAATGCGTATTTTTGTGCCAAGTGTACACTTATTTAATCAGCAGCCTGCATTCTGATGTAAATACATAGATAGAATTTAGAAAACAGGGCAATAGGAAAGGCTATAGTCTCCAAGTCAAAGAGGAACAAATGGGAAATTCAAAATCAAATGAAAGCCTAATTTTTACAGGACAGTTCTTCCTTTCCTGTTCATGGCCTCTGCCCACCCATCGGATGCCCGCATGTCGTTCTGCTGCAGGAGGTAAGTAAGCGTCATATGGTATAGGGTCACAGGGAAGGCCCCAAACAGAGGGACATGGAAAACTAGTCTGTGTAACACTCTCACAGAGCACACCATCAGAGAGAAATGAGACAGGGGTGTGGAATGCACATGTCTCTGGACATGCTGACCACAGTGGAAGGTTCCTGGAGCAGAGCTCTCTGCTTCTCACAGAAAAAAACAGCTGGGGCTGGCTCCCCCTCCCCCCACCTGACTTTGTAAAGCAGCACACATTATTAAAAGAGACAGTTGATTACCACCTACCGTTTGATTTTTCACTATCTGCAGGTTTCATCTGAATGGGATGATGCATCTAAAAACACAAAAGTGAGAAAGTAAAGACAGATTGAACAACTGTAAAAACAGTCTCAGAAATTTGATACTATTCATCTTGAGTGTTGTTTTTGTTATAAGGGCACACAAGACTACTCCCAAATAAGATTAACTAAATTTAAAAAGGACGCCTTTTTTTATGTTTGGATATAATATTGTAAGCCTTCTAAGTCATGAGACACTTGAACAAAGTGCTTGAAAGTTGGCCTTTGGAGTCAGTCTTCAGTTTCAAATCTGATTCTGGTCTCAGTGTTCACTACAACTACCTGTGACCTTGGGTAAGTGTGTTCTCTAAACTTCTGCCTTCTCATCTGAGATGCAGCTAACACTTGTGTAGCAATGTTAAGTGCTTCAGAAGCACACAAAAGGTTATAACTAAAAATATTAGTTATTGTTATTAATATAAAATAAGTACAGGTTGTCTTTGTTCCTCTTCAGATCACTCAGTATGTCTGCTATGTGGAATTTTCTTAGGTCTCATGATTCTGAGTAATTTGAAGTCCAGAAGTTGACTGATTTAGGTGCCAGTGCCAAATGTTTCAATCCAGAAAAGGAATGCAGAGGCACAGGAAGAATGTAAGGAAAACAGGAACTGAATAGAGAAGGAGGTAGGGAATGAAGGAGAAAGGGACCTCAACATAATGTTCAGTGTATATGCAAAAGCAGAGATAACCTGAGACAGAGCCAGTCTGAGGTCCTGAATCCTAGTAGAGCTGGACGGCTCACAGTCCTCCACATAATGCTGATCACACCACCGTGCACGATCCAGTTTACTCCAAGCACAGAACGCTACCATTTCCAATTAAAATAAATTCCTCAAACTACTTTCAAAGGTCCTCCTGCTTCATATTTCATCATACCCCAAGGAACACAGAAGCCACAGGGTGGATGGAATCACTGGCTGTGCAAATGCTTTTATTATAATGGGTCCCGTTCTCTCTGAACCTTTAATTTCCCCAGTGGACTTCCACCACTTGCAAGCAGCAGCTCTGGTTTTTTTTTTTTTTCTAATTTAAATGAAAGGGGAATGTACTCAGCTCTGACACTTAATATGATAGGAAATTATTATCAGGTAGCCCATGCTCACCTCATGCCTGTCAGGGTCCTCAAAACACACGAGGAGGGGGAAAGAGGAAGAATTCGACATGGGAAAACAGGCTAAATAATGCAGAGCGGTTGGATTTCTCCTAAAGGGCAAGGTGACCTTATGTATAAAACTTGGTCCTTGAGATGTGGGGTCTACTATTATTCCTTCTTTCTTCATTAATCTATTCAATTTATGCAGCAGAGACTACAAGTTGACCAATCTTTTCAGAAGAGTGTAATTTATGCCTTACAAAACACGCAGAGGTCAACTGAAAAATCCCTTACGCATTGTCTCTATTCTACAGTAAGAGAGAAATGAAAATAAATGGAGAAAACAATCATCGGGTCTGATATTCTTTACAGCCTACATCTGCCTACACGTTCAGTAAACATGGAAGACACAGCCTGTGTGTCAGGCTCCAGGTTAAAGACTGGGAATAAGCTTATGTGGAGAAGTTCCTCTCTCCTTTAGGTGCTTACAGGATGGTGGGGGAAGCATCAATCCAAACAGGTGCATGCCAGAGGAAAGGGAAACCTCTGCTGATCTAGAGGCGCAGGTATTCACTTCTCTGGCGAAGCAAGCAATGATTTCCCCAAAAAGGTGACACATGGGTAGAGTCTTTGAGCTTGCCAACAGAGGAAGGGCAGAATGATGTATAAAGTCTCTGAGAAATTCCATATCATTATACAGTTGTGAGACAGAGAGTAATATCTTACAGCAAGGAGATAAAACCTAAGCAGGGAACACCATGAGAAAGGGATTGAAGGGGAGTGAACCTCAGGTCTTGGATGGGCTTGTAAACTACTATTTCCAGAAGATAAACTGTGTAGCGAAGTTAGGAAACTTTGTGGAAGACATGAAAAAAAGGACAGGGATGGAAGACAGAAGGTGACATCTTTTCTTTCAAGTTTGGAAATACTTTGAATTTGTACAGTGAATAGGCCGAAAAGAGACTAATGGGATTCACAGTCTAAACACAAAGGAGACAAGTAAACCAACATGATATATAGGACACAAAAATGACAGAGATGTTCCTACTGCATATCATGATGGTTCATGTGCATCTACTTTAAACAACGTTGGCAAACTTCTGAAGAGGAACACAAAGCACTGTAAGTGTTTAGCTTCATGTGTGAAGGCCAATACAACTGGAGGAAGTCTGGGAGTGGCAGGAGTCAAATCATTCTGCATTTAAGCTGTAAAGGATCCTACAAATATCACAGTCCCATGCTCTCAGCTGACGATCTGAAGAGAATAACGTGATTTCACGAACAACACCGAGCGGGTTAATGGCAGAGTGGAGATGAAAAATCTAGTTCCAACTCCTAACCCTGTGATGACCCCCTCTACCACATTGCTTTTCCATGTCCAACAAGGGACTTGGACTTATGAGGCTTTGATTCAGAACTGCAGACTTCCCTCACTGAAAAAGCCAGACCAACACTGGTTGGAAGGCATCTGCAATATTCCTTAGGTGAAAGTAATCCTTCCCTTTTCTCAATCCCTTAACATTCTAGCTCTGTAACTTTATGACTAGTATTACACTAAGACTTTGCTCTTCATTTTCTTGTAGCTGCTCAGTTTCTGACTTAAAACTACCCAGAAAGCTCAGGTAAGCAATAGAGGTAGCAATAAAGCAGCTATTGCCACTGTGAACTTGAATTTTATTTTGTTTTTTCCTGGGCTCAGGGCATGAGGTAGGTATTGGCTGAACCTCAGAGAGCTGGGCTGTCATACTCTGTGCTGGCTTCTGAAAGGGCAGTAATCCTACTTTAGGTATGCTCTGAAAATAATTTAAATAATGCATAAAGTCCTGTGACCTTCTTAAACAAAGCTGTTCAATCAGTACTGTTTTAAGAATTGCTCATTTTCAAGAGCTGCTCATTTTAGACACAAATTGCTGATCACACATAGGATGTAACTGTCAAAGAAGATCAAGAATGGTCTGGAGCATTTGTTCTCATAACGTTTCCTCCAAATTTCATGATTCTAAGAACTGGGAGATTTCTTGAGTGGATCAGGGAATTTTTTTTTTAAACAAGATTTATTTGTTCTTCTTGGAAAGCCAGATTTACAGAAAAGGAGACAGAAAGATCTTCCATCTGCTGGTTCCTTCCCCAAGTGGCTACAACAGCTGGAGCTGAGCTGATCCAAAGCCAGGAGCCAGGAGCTTCCTCTAGGCCTCCCATGTGGGTGTAGGGTTCCAAGGCTTTGGGCCATCCTCAACTGCTTTACCCGGCCATAGAGAGGTGGAGGGAAGTGGAGCAGCCTGGATATGAACTGGTGCCCATATGGGATCCCAGCATATGCAAGGCCAGGACTTCAGCCACTAGGCTACCTTGCTGGGCCTAGAACTTACTGTTAAAAGAGTTAGCATTCTAATTCAGATTTTCAAGTTACAACAAAGGAGTTACTTCCCTACAACAGGGATTATTTTAAAGATTTGATGCAATAAAATGCTAGGACTACTCATTCATTTATTTGTAATTTATCAGTCACTATGGTAGACACTGGGAATGCAATGGTGAGGAAGAGTTCTCATCATGATGAAGCTTGTAGTACAAAAGCAGATGCACATTTCTCAGAGTATGGTATGGTGTACTGAGAAGCAGTGTGCGAAGTCAAAGGAATATTCCAACACAATTCAAGGAAGAGCAAACAAGAAGGTCTCCCAGATGATGCAATGTTCAAGTTTATCCTGGAAGCAATTTTGGTTTTAACTGGGAAATCTCCCAGAAAATCTCCAGGACAACATACTTGAAGACATACAGCAAGAAAAAAGAGGGTTAGGTGTTACTGAAGAATGACGATAAAACATTCTAACCAACAGAGGGAGTTATTACAGATCATTCAGCAAAATACCTAAAGCACAGGAAGGCTAATAATGAGGAATATACTTACAGCTGGGGGGAAAAAATTGAAGAAAGAAGAATCCAATACATGTCTATTCAACTCCGAATTAAGTCACCCCAGGCACAAGAACTAGCCTCTAAAGATCATCATTTTTCTCAGCTCTTTTTTCAAGAACTACAGATGAATGGAGTCAGTGGGAGCAGAGCTGCTGCCCTTCCACAATGCATCCATCTCGACTAGAGAACTTGGCCACCTCTGCTGCTGCAGGAGTCCTCGCCAACACATGCCCTGCCCTTGGAACTGCTGACGGCAGTGAACAGCGAGAAGTCCCCAAGAATAGGACAGTCAGTATTCCAAACTCACATGTCCTGCCAGTTGTAAGGGACTCTCAGAGTCAGGCTTGAAGCTTGTCCCTCTGAAGATACCTCCTTCCCTCTGTGAGCACATGAACTTCAAGGATTTTTGCAAGGAGTCTTTCAACAGACAGGTTAATTAAACGGAGGCAGTGCCTCCACAGCATTGAGAACTGGCTATATCTGAAAATATATTCAGTGGTCTAAAGTGTAAGGATCTGTCTAAACTATCTGACAAGCCCAGAAATTTATTAACATCATCCTCTGAAATTCAGTGTAGTGTTCTTGAGTCATGATGCAATACAATTTTGAATCTATTATTTGGTCTTCCAACTCCAGCTTCTTTGAGCATGATTTTTATCAGGGCAGTGATTGGAATAACGTTTTTGCAAATAATCTGTTCATGGCAGTAAATGTACTTAACCTATTTACCCTAACCTTTTTTTTTTTAAGATTTATATATTTTTAATTGGAAAGGCGGATATACAGAGAGGAGGAGAGACAGAGAGGAAGATCTTCCTTGTGATGGTTCACTCCCCAAGCGGCTGCAACAGCTGCAGCTAAGCCATTCCGAGGCCAGGAGCCAGGAGCTCTTCCAGGTCTCCCATGCAGGTACAGGTTCCCAAGGCTCTGGGCTGTCCTCGACTGCTTTCCCAGGCCACAAGCAGGGAACTGGTTGGGAACCCG